TCGTCAAAGAGGCAAGGGCGCTGGAGCATTGCCGTTTTCTGCCAATCCGTTTTTGCAGCTGGCGGGCCCAGCTGATAGCCGAGGGAGGTACACTTCGCTAGTTGTTCGGCCGCACGTCCACGGGCGTGCAAGGGTGAGTGCGCCACGTGGGCCACATGGGCGAGCATGCGCTAGGCAACGATAATGCTCTCATGAGTGGCAAGCGCGGCGCGGGTGTCAGACGTCCAGGCGCTAGTATCTCCCGTGAATTTATGTGTGTGACCCATGAAATGTGGACTTTTTTTTAGGAAACCGGAGCTTCATTAATCATGAAATGTGGACTTTTAACTCCCATTTGGTAAGGATGCAGATTCTTGTAGAAATGTTTTAGATTCATATTCTTTGAGAGCCATTTTAGGTGAAATCAGAATCACTTTTACGGGACCAATTGGTTGGTAGGGATTCTGATTTTAAAAATACATAAAAATTATATAAATAAAAATGCTTCAAATAAACCTAAGACTTTTTTTGTGGATGAAGAATAATCTAAATATAATCCATTTTAACTTGTTGCACTTAAAAGGATAAGTAGAAAAAATAGTCACCGGTGTACAGGAGAAACTAGATTGGATCACTGGTGTACAGGAGAAACTAGAAATGGAATCTCTCCGGTTTTCAGCTAGAATCGGAACTGATCTGACTAGTCAACTGTGCCTCATTTTTAGCGGTGTATTTGTGTCGGATAATAACATTATTGAACCTGTTCGTTTCGTTGAAATTTGGCTATTGCTGATGTTGATTCGTTCCGAGAGGAAAACAATGTTCCTTCACTGAAAAATTCTGCTGAAGTAGTGCTGAAAAACAGGGCGATTAAGCAAAAGTAGAAATGTTGTTTGGAATAAGGGCTATATATAAACCATCAGACAGAAGTTTCATCCGAAATATGGATCACGTACGTAATAAACGTAACAAAAGCAACCAAAGAAAACATACGCAGCTACCCCACAGAACATGAACCAGCTACGCACTCGTCACACGTATATCTGGGCACAAAGCCCGAGCCTGTGAGCCCGGCACGGAGCCCGCTATTTAGGCCCGGCCCGAAGGTCAATGGGCCCGGGCTGGCACGGCACGGGGGTGCAGGCTGTGCTTGGGCCGCACCCTAGGCCCACAGGCCGGCACGGCACGGCCCGCAAAATAATGGCAGTCCAGTGGCATTGCAACGCAGCAGCAGCAAGCGGCCACCGCCCAAGAACTCCCCCTCCTCCCCATATATAAACCTGCGACCCCCCCGGCCCCACCCCCCACCTAACCCTAACCCCATTCTCCTCCCAACCGCCACCCTTTTCGACACCCTTTCGGTCGCTCCTCGCTTCGTCGCCACTCGCCTCCTCTCGTCGATCCATCTTCACACGGTGCACCATCATCCTTGGATCCAGTGATATCGCCGCCGCTCCATCACCTCTCCCTGAGTTCCCTGCTCCCTCAGTCCCTCTCCATCTTCCTTTTTACTCCTTCTCCTCTGCTTGTCGTTGAACATGTGAGTCCGCCTCCCCGTCTCTCTTCCGCCGTCGCTCATGACGCCGCCCTTCTTAATCTGTCTTGCCCTTGTGTGGCCCTCGTCTTCTCCGTACGGGCTCCGGCTCAGAGCAAGTCCATCCCCATTCGTAACCCTAACCCTAGCCCCTAGATCTATACATTTCTCAGTGTTTTGATTCTGTTTTTTGGATCATTTTCTCATCCTTTTCTTCTTTTCGTGTTCTTTTTCTTTGCAGGTCTGCTGCCGATGCCTCGTCGTCAACTAGCCTTGGCGTAGACGGACGACGGGCAATGGCACCACGGCCAAGCCGTAGCCACGCACCATTGAGGAATGGTGCTGGAGTTCAGCCATCCGCGGCCGAGGGCCCCATGGCGTGTGACCCACAGGGCGACGATGCCATGTTCCCTGTGACTGGCGACGATGACTTGGTCGCGGCTGGGCTGTCCCTGGAGCACGACGACGATGGTCGTGACCCCTTTGCGGTGTTTGATGACGCCACCCGCGGGACATAGCCGGCGATCGACGTCGATGCCGTCGATGCAGGGGCAATGGGGACAAGGACAGTGGACTCCAACGCCCACTCCAATAGCACTGGTGTTAATGGTAATGCTGATGGTAATGGTACTCGTACTCCTTCCTCTGGTGCTGTTTCTGGACTTGGTAAGCGCAAGTCTAAGTGCTGGGGTGACTTTGAGGAGGTTTATGAGAAGACTAATGGTGTCGATGTGCGTGTTAGAGCTATATGTAAGATGTGTAGAACTGTGTTGAGTGCTAGATCTGCTGCTGGTACTGGTCACATTTTTAGGCACCAAAAATCTTGCAAACAGAAACTTGATAATGCTTCTAGGGTTCAGTCTCGACTAGCTTTTAATGCTGATGGATCTTTGCATAATTGGAACTATGATCCCGCTGTTGCTAGAACTAAACTATGTAGATTGATTGCTAGGCTTGATCTTCTTCTTGGTTTTGGTGACACTGATGCATTTGAGGAATATATTAAAAATTCTCATAATCCAAGATTTGTTAGATCATCTAGAAGAACCACCACTAGAGATCTGGATAAGTTATTTGCTGAACGTCGTGCTATGATTAGGAACCGTGTGCATGCTTCTGCATCTGTTGCTTTGACTTCTGACATATGGTCTGGTAATGCTAAAGAGGATTACATATCTGTTGTTGCTCACTATGTGAATGCTGATTGGGAATTGCAAAAGAAGATTGTTGGTCTTAGGTTGATTCAAGTTAAGCATTCTGGTGAAAACATTTCTGCTTCCATTGCATCTGTTATTGAGGAGTATGGCTTGGTTGATAAAATCGTTTCTATCACTTTAGATAATGCATCTTCTAATGCTAAGGCTATGGAAACTTTGACACCCATGTTTGCTGGTTATCTTGGTTGTGATCCTACACCTGATGATCCTGCACCTGGTTACAGTCTTGTTCATCAACGCTGTGCTTGTCACATTATTAATCTGATAGTCAAATCTGGACTAAAAAGAATCAAACATTATATAGAGGATTTTAGAACTGCAATTAATTTCTTGAACTCCTCTAATCAAAGAATTGCTATGTTTAAAAACTACTGTGAAGCTAAAGGTATGAGACCTAGAAAATTTGGCTTAGACATGGATGTTAGATGGAATGCTACTTATGTCATGCTAAAACACTTGGTTCCTTACAGTGAAGTATTTTCTGTATTCATAAATTCAAATTATGGTTCTGCACTGTTGTCTCCAGCCCATTGGCACGTGGCTAGGAAAATATTGGAGTTCCTGAAAGTATTTTATGACTCTATTGTTACACTGTCTGGTGTTTATTATCCTACCAGTCCTCTTGTGCTGCACCATGTTCTGGAGATTGCAACCTATTTGCATGCATGTGAAAGGGATGTTAATCTTAGACCCTTTATGTACCCTATGCAGCATAAATTTCTTAAGTATTGGAAGGACATTCCTCTCTTATACTCATTTGCATTCATTCTTGACCCTAGAGCTAAGCTCAGAGGTATGCAAAGGGTCCTCCATTTACTTACTGAATATACTGGTACGGATTACACTACTTACTATGCTGATTTGAAAACTGAGTTGCATAAAATGTTTGAGAAATATTTGAGAAAGTTTGGTGCAACAGGTCACAAAGGGTTTCTGGTCCTACCCACCCACCGGGTAAGAGAAAATAGGCTTGGGGGTAATTTTTGGAGGATCAGTCCGCTGGTTCTTCCAGTAAGGGCTTTCGCTGTTCTTCTTCTCACTCTCTTCGCTTCGAACTTTCAAGCTATTTGGACAAATGATGCATAACTCGCTTATGAGGATGGTTTTGACATTCTTCCGTGGTGGAAGGACCACAAACTAACCTATCACATCCTCGGCTATTATGGCGGAGATATCATGTCGGTTCTGTTTCCACTTGTTCTTCGAGTCTTGTTTCACTTAGCAGGGAGGATCCTAGAAGAACGGCTACCGAGAGCTTGAAACCGAACATGTTGAGATGTTGACCTTGTTGAAGGACCGGAGCTAGGAGAGAAGAGGGAACAACATGAAGTCATTGATACCAAGGAAATTGAAGATGCATTCGAGAATCTGTTCCTGGATGAACCAGAAGATGAAGATGATGCATCTGGTGGCTGAGAGTGGCATTGTTGGCTGGGAGTATTGGGGTACTTTTGTGTGAGTTGAGAGTGGATGTGTCCCTCACTCACTTGCTTAGTTTTCATTTGAACATTTGAACAATGGTCTGTAATAACTATGTAAGATTAAGACATTTGGAGCTGGCTGCACTCTTTTTTCCTGCCTAGGGTTTCTCACAAGGGTGAGTTTTACCTAGGTAGGTTTTTAATGAGGCAGCATTGCACAAAACAGCTCTTTTTGATATTTAAATCTGTTGTCTTCATCTTGCTGTTGCTGCTGTTTATTGCCTAAGTGTCCTAAATGGCTAAGTGTGAAAAAATTGTGTTGGTCAAAATTCATACTTATGTGTTCATGGTTGAAAAAAATGGATTGAGATGTTTATTTGGAGGTGTTTTAGATTTAACGGGCTGTGGGCTGGCACGGCCTGCTATTTTTGCCGTGCCTCACGGGCCAGCACGGCACGAAAAATGGCCCACAGGCCCGTGCCTGGGCCGAAGGCCAGGCCCGCAGGCCGATGAGGCACGGCCCGCAGGGCACGGCGTGCCTCCTTGGCCCGATAGCCATCGTGCCGTGTCGGCCCGTGACGGTGCCGTGCCGGGCCAGGCCGGCCCGATGCCCAGATATAGTCACACGTACAAGCATGCATGTGAGCATGTCTGCATGACAACACGTACGTATAGGTACCTAGTAGCACTACGTACGTTCCAGCAGCGACGTCATCACGTCCCGTTATTATTCATTGATCTAATACTAATATATAGGCTCACTAGCAAGCATTCTAGTAGCTAGCAAGGTACCTAGTGGTTACAGCGATTCACGACGGTTTGGCAAGTAGTGCCGTTGCCGTGCTGCTACTACGGGGAGTCGTCGGACGCCGCCGGGGCAGCGTCGTCGTCGACGACGTGGACGCAGCAGTTCGGCAGCGGATGGCAGCATCCGGGAGGGTCCCGGCGGTCCGCGCCCACGGCAGCCGCCGCCGTGTGGCAGAGCCGCCGGGAGGACGCTGGCTCTCGGCAGAGAGCTCGCGGCACGGCCTCTGCGCCGGCGCTCATCTCGGCGCCGGAGATGAGGACCACGCACACGAGAGCAATGACTAGCAATTTGGAGACCTGCATGATGCTGCTTGTTTTATTTTCCGGGTTCTCAGCAAGATGGGTCTGCCTTCTACAATCTACATAGATGATGCCTGCCTTTTATAGACGAATGTATGCTGACGAATGCTGATGATTCCAATACCTTTTGTAGAGGACGACGGGAGGCTTTTTCGTGCGATGGATTCAATAAATCACTTGGAACTTGCTTTGGAAGTGCGGACCTAGTTGGGATTCGGACAACGCACGGCGGCCGATCCGAGGTGCTCTGCTCCGAACGAAAAAATTGCAAAAAATGGGACTCCAAAACATTGACTCTTTGATCATGTTGATACTCGGATGGATGACAAATGGATCCATCTATATCTATGAATGTGGGTCCAATGTCAAATCTGCAAACGACCAATGTTTCGAGTCCCATTTTTTCAATTGTCCCGCTCCGAACCGGCGCCGACACAAATGCTGGAACAATTCGCGCTTCGATTCCTGGAGGATTCCAACGAGATACGGGAGTCGCCCGAGTGCTTTCGTGACATCTATTTTTGAAGTCAATGTAAAAAACAAATAATTCAAGTTTATCATGGTTTGATTTTTTCGACATGTAGTATTAACATAGGAAATGATTATGTTTTCTAGAAGAAACAAATATTCAATACATTGTTTGTGGTATTATTCATGTCCGGGGGCGGATCTAGCTAGCACCGGGGCATGTGGACTCAACCGCTCGAGCCCTCCTACCGATGCTCAAAGTATCAAGAAGCGCCTAAGTCCTCTAGAAATTTGTAGCTATAAAAAATTGGAAGAAGAAATGGCCGAAAGGCTATGGTGTTAAAGAATAATGGAGTGAACCCCTCCTAACATATAACATGTTGCTCTATTATTTTGCGGTAACGCCTCTCAATTTCTATTAGTGTTTGGTTTGAACTTTATTTCAAATAGATTCTAAAAAAGAATTTGTTTTCATTTGTTTAAAGTAAAGTTATAAAAGCCTTGAAAATGTCCTAAAACATCCTTATTGGGCTGAAACCTGTGTCTTCATCGGGCCTTGAAAATTCCGTTCATTTGATTTTTTCCTTTTCCTTGTGCCTTTTTATCTTTGGCAAAATTTGCTACATAACATAGAAAAATAATGTCTAGTTGATGTGGGACCAAAAAATATATATAATTGGCTAGTGGGCACTCGGGTTCCGACCAATTCATTTCTAGACACTGTCCCAATTGAAATAATATCTTTAGGCCATGTAGGAGAGAGAAAAATAATGAAATACATGTCGTTTCTTGACCTGACCCCATTGGTCAGACCCTTTCTTCTTCCTCCTCATTCTGGTCCGAGTCCATATATATCCAGGAAGATCTCACTTGCACGTGCCACATTATTCTCTCCCCCGACTTTGATCCCAAAACCATAACGCCCACCTTGGGCTCACTGTCCTTCTCCTTTGGCTCCAACCCCTCCGCCGCCTCTTCCCTTTAAAGCCCCATTGCTGCCCTTCTGAGACCGTCTCAAGAACAACATCACTAGCTTCAAGTGGAAGGAGATCGCAATCGATGCCGAGTTCCTTATGAAGTGCGAGATGCTGGGTATGTAGTGACCGAGGGGATTGATGGTGAGGACAACGAATTGATCTTCTCCAGTGAGCCACATTTGACTTTGACGCGATAGCAATAGGGAGCTCAAAGCCATCTTTTGTAGCAGCATCCGGTTCGTCTAAATGGTGCTAGCTAGGCAGACCCACTGTTCGTCTAAATGGTCATGTAGCCCATTTAAGTACCGTTTGAGCACTACTGATGGTTCGCCTTTTCATTTAATTGACTACTTGTCTCATTTAAACAGTTGTTTTGTCTGTTTAAATAGTTGTTTATTAGCCCGAATAGCAACTAAACAATAAGTGATTGTCTATTTATTCTTGGACTTTTTATAAATGGTTGTTTTGACTTTCTTAATGCGTTTGACTTCTCATTAATATTTCAAGGACAATTTAAGGCAAAGTGTCCCGTACGTCTCGTTGCACTAAACATTTGATGTGAGCAATTTTTCTCTTTTTCTCTTCTTTCTTGCTCATGTTCTTTGCATCTTGTTGTTTGTTTGAATGCCTTCTATATGTGGTAGGTTTGGGCTTTGGCTTCCAACAATTGTTGGAAGCCAAGGCTCCTAACAGTGCACCATATCAGACAGAACTTTCACCCAAAATATCGATAAGTAAATAAGCGTGACAAAAGCAACCAAGGAAAACGCAGCTAGCTCTCACAGAACACTAGAACAGCTGCGCATATTCACAGGACGTACAAGCATGCATATGCATGGCAACATATAGTTACCTGCGACTGCGATATATACTAGCACGTTCCAGCAGCGACGACGGCATCACGTCCCAACATTATTCATTTATCTAATATATATTATTAGCTCACTAGCATAGTAGCATTATATTCTAACTACTAGCCAGCAAGCATAGCTGTAGAAGATGCACACAGGGCAGCTCTGATGATCGAACCAGTGGTAACAGCGATTCATCGTCGCGTTTGGCAGGTGCCGGCCGATGCCACGCGCTAGCTGTGCCAAGTACTACGGGGAGTCGTCGGACGCCGGGGCAGCGGCGGCGTCGTCGTCGTCGACGCAGCAGCTCGGCCCCGGCCTGCAGCATGGGTGGCATCCATCGGGGGGGCACACGCCCACTGCAGTCGCCGCCGCGTGTGGCAGAGCCGCCGGGAGGACGCTGGCTCTCAGCAGGGCTCGCGGCACGGCCGCAGCGCCGGTGCTCATCTCGACGGCGCCGGAGATGAGGACCACGCACACGAGGGCTACCACAAGCAATTTGGAGACCTGCATGTTGCTTCTTTATTTTCAGGATGGCCTGCTGCCTTCTGCTAGCTCGTTTGCATATGGACGAGTGCTGATAATGCCTGCCTTTTATAGAGGACGGGAGGCTTTTCATTCGTGCGATGCGATCGAAGAAATCTCTTGGAGCTGAGCTAATCGGGACAAGCCACGGGCGGGCACCCCGAGGTGGTGTGCTCCGATCCGTCCGCACCGGCGTCGCCACACACATGAAGCCTCCGCGAACTTCAGTTCGACCTTCGTTGAGGATGGGTCGATGGGAGCTGTCATGGTCACTTTGCTTCGCACGATCAGGTATATGATTATGAGGTAAGCATGTTTTTTCTGGGATTTTCCAACCCTTCAGGAACTCTCAACTTTCAGTATGGGTCACTACCATGGCGTCAATGGGCCAGCAGGTGTTTGATCGTGGCAAATACATGGAGGATGACCATACTATAGTGGCAATACTGGCCACCTCTACCTCAAGTTGGTGATACCATTTATACCAGAGCAATGCAGGATTTTTGTATGGGCATGAGGTTGTGTTGCCAAAACCTCCTTGGTTGCATGATATTGGGTCAATCGCTTACCTGTTTGGGCACACGCCCTGAAGGTGGTTTGCTGTTCTGTTCCGTGATCCAGAAAAAAAGATACTGCTTCAAGTGTAACGCTGAGGTGGCAATGCCAGTCAAATTTGGGGAAGGTGGCAACACGATTGGTCTTCAAGTGATTCGTGATATTGTCCGTCAGTTACTGGCTCTCCCGCCGTCTGTTGGTCAGACTAAGGCGGAGGTTGATCTAAAGAAGGTGGAAATTGCGGGCAAAGTTCACGCAGAAAGCCGTCTATCTGGTTTTGGTGTGGATTTTGCAAACAAATGGCCTAGCTATGACTATGAGTCCAGATCATCTGATGCACAAGGCTTTGATATCAGCAGGATACCAAATCTCAGAAACATAGGCTACAGGAGTGCAGTATTGCAGTACCTATCTGTGCCTGGTAAGCTGCGAGAAAGGATGGTAGCACTGGATAGTCCAAAAGTCTCCTTGCCGAAGTACTTGAGGAGCTTTTGTGGAGGCAAGTGCTGCAGGAGACGTGCTGAACCCAATTATGAAGAACCTGTTAATGGGTTTCCCATCAGAGGGCCAACCACAAGTGCTGCATTACCACGAACAAGCGAGAGTCCCGGATTTCAAAAGAGGGAGATTGTTGTTCAATTATTTCCAACAGATGCGCAGAGAAACTTGGAAAAGTTGCAAACAGTTTGTGCAAGTAGTTATTCTCATGTTATTGATTCAGAGATGATGGTGGAGGAAACACATAAACCTTTGGAAGTTGATTCTATTGAAGTGCAACATATCAGTCAAAGCAAGGATGTTGTACAGAGTCCGTTGCAGAATCAGGAGGGAAGCTTGGCGCTGTCAAGATTGTGCCGTAAGGATCTAGATGACATCCAGAACAGCGGCTTGAGGGCAAGCCACGTTTTAAGCGGAGGGAATGTCATGTACTGGGCCGATGGATGTGCTTCCAAGCTGGGCCGTGGGATGGGCTTCGAAGGCCTTCGTTGGACAGGAGCAAAAAGGATAAAAGTCCAATGCAGCTTGGGAAGAAGGCATTGATCCAGAACCAATCATCTATCGTCTATCGTCTTCCACCTTTGGTCTAGGACCCGACCTTGCACTTGCTGTTCTTGCTTCCCTGGCTCCAATCCCTGCTAATTCCTGTCTAAATTCCCCTAATTCTCCAGAAATTATATCAAATACTCTTGTACTTATGATTGATAATGGATTGACAGTGAAAGTTCATAACAGAAGCCTAGGTAGAAACTTATTTTAAAGAGAAGAATGTGTGGTTAGCTGTTGCAGCTGTAGATGCAAGCCGAGTTGAATATGTGTTTGGTAGATTGAATTTAAGCTCTATGAGGGGATGCAATATGCTAGGAAGGTGTTTGGTTGTCTGTTTTAGTCTTTTGGGATGTACAAGTTTTTAGGGTTGAAAGTGGTGTGGATAATTCTTCGCTTCGCTCCAATTCGAATCCGAATTTTAAGAAAATAGAGAATAACTTTTAATATCAATGGAGAAACGGATTGAGATGTGACGATCCTCTGACAATGCCAGGGCATGGCATTGTCAGCGAACAGGCGTCCAGCGTGGAGCTATCTCTGTCACCACCTGCCGTGTCAGCGGGGCCCGCACAGAGAAAAA